TGTGTGTGTGTGTGTGTGTGTGTGTGAGAGAGAGAGAGAGAGAGAGAGAGAGAGAGAGAGAGAGAGAGAGAGAGAGAGAGTGTTATTTATGTGTATGTGTTCCATTGGTGTTGGGAGAAATTAGAAATATACTTAGCTAAGGGATTATGCCATGCTATTATTGGCTCACCACAAGTCTACTATTACACTAGGAAGCTTACTGATTGGTTGAGCATAAGCCTGGAATTGAAAGAATGGACTAATGATTTCAGTCCAGACAGCCCAAGCAGGCTAATCACAGATTCGCCCTGGGTATATTCTGTAAAAGATATTGAGCAAGGCTTCAAAGGAATCTCTTACCCAAGGAAAACTAGAATGACTAGGTTTGGCCTTGAGGGAACTTTAATGTAGACTAGCTTAGGCAGTTTGGGGATGTTTAAGCTAGGACTGTCTAGATTTCTTTTATCCTTCAATACTTCCTGTATTCCAAACTTTTGTGATTTACAGATTACTTCAAGGTAGATGTTCTTCTTTGGTATAGATTGTAACCCACCTTTGCTTTTACATTTTGTGTGATTCTTGTTCACGTTCTGCCGTAAATCCTCAATAGAAGACCTACCCAATGTGCTGGAGGACTTCCTCTTAATATTTTGGGGGGGAGACTAGAGCAATGTACTTAGCCTATCCATCAACCATGAATATTTATTAAGCACCTACTATTTGCTAGGTATTGTGCTGGAATGAAACAATTCCTATTCACAAGAAACTTCATTCTAACAGGGGAAACAAGTACATATGTAATTCATTACAAAATAAGTATATTACTCTTCTGGATGTCAGTTGCTCTGGGAGGTGTGATTCCCCTTTGCTGGAGGCAGTATGAATGGTCTTTTTAAACACCAAATCATATCTATTATAGTATTTCCACCACTACCCCTTATAGAATATCTCTTTTCCCCTTGTAAGCATACTTCAATGGGCTTTTCTCCTGCCACTGAAACAAAATTGTTGTTCATTCTTTTCTGACTCTTTGTGACCTTATTTGGAGTTTTCTTGGCAGATATACTGGAGTGGTTTGCCATTTCCTTCTCCAGCTCATTTTACAGATGAGAAAACAGAGGTGTGATATAAAAAAAATTTGAGAGATATTGTTTGTGGGTAATTAATCATTTTATTAATCATGCTAGCATATCATTAATAAAAAGGGTCAGTGACACTCTCAAATGTCAAAGACCCCTCATGGAACCCACTCAACGCTTATATGCCCTTGGAAGAGTGGGTGTTCCTGGAAGTGTCAATTGACTCTGATTGGTTAACAAGTAATGAGAGAGAATAAATATTATAATGAGAGGTGGACCTATTCTAATGAGGGGCTAGGAGACATGACTTTGATTGTGTCATTTACTTCCAAATCACACCCAGCCTTGGACAATCTAGATAAAGGATCTATCCCCCTGCTAGAGTGGAACTCAATGGACCAGAATTCACCTTAGATTAAATTCTTTGTAAGGTTTTCAAGTTGGGTGAGGCAACAACTCCACCTAGATGAGATAGTCTACGTGGGGCAGATTTTTGGGAAAGGTCAGGGATTTCCCCAATAATTTGTTATTTGACAATTGTTTCTCTCAGAGGCAAATACAGTTAAGTGACTTGCCCAGGTACACACTACTAGTAAGTGTCTGAGCCTGGATTTGAATTCAGGTCTTCCTAACTCCGGGCCCTGCACTCTATCCACTGCATCATTTAGCTGCATTTCAATCTCTCCTTTTGCCTTCTCACCTGTTCTATTGTAAGTTCACTTCTTATTGAGGGACTACAGGAGTTATTTTCCCTTCATTGTTAACGTTTGACTTGATTAGGGTATATCACACGTTCTCCTCCTATCTTCTTCTCTCTCCCTCTTTTATGCGCCCTCTCATTCTGCAATTGCATCCCCCCAAACCTTGATTCATGTGTAGGCAAAGTGTTGTAGGGCTTAGGCCATGACGTCTCAGGCCTGTTTTGCCTCCCTCATTAATATGTGACATCTGTTTTCATTCCTATCTCCTTGTGTACTTTTGGAAATAAGTCTCTTAATGATCTCTCAGGTGTTATTTTGTTGTTGTTAATCCTTTATCTTTTTTTTCCCTCCCTAAGTAATTTATTTCCTTATCTGTGCCTCCTTGGTTGCTATATTTGTTTATCTTTTTTGTGCTTCTGTTGTCTGAGGTGTTTGAAAAGCAAATTATTTCTTCACTTCTGGCTTTCTTCCTGGGAATATTTTGAATACTTTTTTTTTAATCACTCATCTTTCTTCATGAATAGCTAGGCTCAGATATGTCCCATTGGGTTGCATCTGGAGTTCCTTTGATCTTCAGAACACATTCTTCTATTCCCTCCAGCAATTTTGGGTAGGTGCAGAATAATTTTATATCATTCAAATTTCTTTTCCTTTGTAATCCAAGGTCTTTCTCCTAGTCACCTGAAGAATTTGTTTGTGGTAGGAATTATTCAATTTAACCATTATGTTCTGAAGTTTGCAGTAGAGTTTTTGTTTGTTTGTTGGTTTTTTCCTGGAAGCAATCTGTGCAGTCTTTTGATTGGTACTTTTTTTTTTTTGCATTCAGAAGTTCTATGGGGGTGCAGCTAGGTGGCACAGTGGATAGAGCACTGGCTCTGGAGTCAGGAGGACCTGCGTTCAAATTCAGTCTCAGAACAGACACTTGACACTTGCTAGCTGTGTGACCCCAGGCAAATCGCTTGACCCCAATTGCCTCACACAAATAAATTAATTAATTAAATTAAAAACAAAAAAAGAAGTTCTATGGGTAGTTGGGTGGCATAGTGGATAGAGCATAGGCCCTGGAGTCAGGAGGACCTGAGTTCAAATCTGACCTCAGACACTTGACACTTACTAGCTGTGTGACCCTGGGCAAGTTGAGTTAACCCCAATTGCCTCACAAAAAAACCCCTAATTCTACTCCCTCAAAAAAAGAGATTCTGGGCAATTTTCTTGTATTGTTTCTTACATTATAGGTGTTCAGTTTTTTTTTTTGACTTATTATGTCTTCTGGGATATTTATAATTCTTAAAAATTGTCTCTAAACATCCTGTCTTTAAAACCAGTATGTTTTACTTATGGAGAAATTGTGTTTTCTTTGTAAGTTATTACTTTTTGCTTTTCTTCAATGTTGTCCTTTACTTATATCTATATACATGCCCTATTAATTATTCTTTCTTTTATTTCTTTGATGAGGTTTGCCATTGTGAGTTCAAATGTTTATATTCTGCTAATTATTTCTACAGTTCAGGCCATCAATTCTGCTTTCATAATTCTTATTTCTCTTAAACTATTCAGGAACATCCTACTGTGGTTCCATAGTCTCTTAGAAATCCACAAGATCTTCTGTCTCATCAAGTATTGATTCATTTTCCTTTGTTTTGCAATATTTATTCATAGATGCCTGGACTCATTTTGCTAATCTAAAGGCCATATTCCCTTCCATTATTAATATCTTCTCTATTGGTTTAGTTGCTTATGCTCAGAGTCTTTAACTGAGATCTTTGGTAATTTCAGTCTTTTAAAAAAAATACTCACCTATATTCCATTTTCTAATTCCTTCCCCTTTAATGGCACTTTCCCTGGAGGCTGGATCTCTAAATTGTCTTAGTTTTCTCCTATGGTATGGAATTGATGTTACATTGACCTCTGTCTCCACCCTAAGTAACTTTTGGTAGGTTAGACTAGCCACAGCTAGATATGAGTCCCCTTAACCTAAAGATCTAATGGAGCACCACACACGTGCTGGCACCCTGACCCACCCCTCTGCTGCTCAGTTCTCTAGTTGATCTCTCTTGCAGCACAGAGCCTTGCCATGTTGCATTCTCAGCCAGAGCAAGCTTCTGCCATTTGGTTTCCCATGGTGGTGTTGTGGGACATGGGAAGAAGAGGAGAGTTGAGTTCTGTTGTGAATCATGGGTCTGCTTGTGCAGCCCTGATAGCACGTGAGAGTGCTGAATAAGCAAGTTAGAGATTGGGGATTAGTTTTCTCTGCTGTTAGTTCATTAGGTTACCTCCTTAGAGTCCTGATGTCTTTAGACCTTTGAGGCAGCTGAAATGACTTTATCCCTTACACATAATACTAACTTTGGAGAGACTTGAGAGGTCAAGAGGATTAAAGAAAGTATCTAGTCCTCTATCTCATTGGTCACTGGACAGGGAAGGGAAGGGAAGGAGCAGGTGCTTTTTCGTTCATTCATCAAAGTATTAGGTGGTTTACAGTCATACAGCAAACAGGAGAATGTCTTTTTTTGGAGCCAAGCTGTGATTCCATCAGGATAGAGAACTCCAGGTTAGGAACTTACAACAACAACAACAACAAGAAAGAGCACTTTTATAGTGCTTTTATAGAACACTTATATAAAACAGTTATAAATCACTAGAATCACCCCATTTTATCTTTGCAGCAATACTGTCAAGTGGGTGCTGTTATTATGTTTACTTTACAGATAAGGAAAATGAAGCTGAGAGAAAGTAAATGACTTTTCCAGGATCATACAGCTGGTTAAGTGTCTGAGGCCAAATTTGAACTCAGGTCTTCCTAAGTCCAGGCTCAGTGCTCTATACCAACTCACTAGCTAGAGTTAAAAGATGTTATAATAATCTACTCCAGCCATTTCATCTTACAGATGAGGAAACTGAGGTCAAACCCTGCTGTTCTGTTCTGTTTTGCATGATTGCACATGTATAACCTCTATCAAATTGCTTCGGCAGGGGAAAAGGGAAGGAGAGAATTTAGAACTCAAAATTTAAAAAAACGAATGTTAAACATTGTTTTTACATTTAACTGGGAAAAAATAAACTATTATTTTAAAAAAATGAACAGAGTCCTTGCTGTTCTGTATCTGCACCAGAATGCTACCAAAAGCCCAATTCCTGTTACTCCAATACTTTCATTCTTTAGAAAATTCCCCGTTCAATTAACAGGGGATTATGTCTCTAGGAAGTCTTAAGATGATTAAGACTCTAGTAAGGGCTTGGACTAGAAGGCCTTTGAGGCAGCTCTAAATCTATAATCCTGTGAATTCTAATCCTAAACTAATTGGTACCCAGCACCCACCTCCGAAAATGGGAGACTCATGAACATGGGGCTTTTAGGGAACCCAGACTTTGTCACCTGCTTGAGTAGGCACAGCTGGGAATGAGGAATTGCCGTTTGTCAGGGCCCAAGGGAAGCCTTCCCAGCAAGGAGGGAAAAGAAATCTCTGGGCCAAGAGGGGCCTGATCCAGCTCTGCCTGGGATACTGATGCCTGAGTCTCTCTGATGGTTACTTGCTCTGGCAGGGGATGATGGGTCCCATCAACCTCTACATTCCCTTGGATCATGAGCTGTGGCACCAGCTAGTCTGACTTCCTTGCTGGTGGCACGCAAAAAAAAAATTGCAAAGAGCAAGCAGGCCGCCCCCAACTTGTTTCTGCTTTATGACTATGCTTAATATAGGTCAAATGAAAACAGCATCCAGAAATAGACCTTCCCTGAGAAGCAGCTGCAATTGTGAAAGCCTGCACCAAAAGAGAAGAGGTGTGAGGAACAGGTAATGCAGGTCTCTTCAGGTATTATGTAACCCTGACATGAAAAGTAGGGCCAAAGGAAACCTGGCCCACCATACCTCATCCCATCTCTGCCTCAGCTCGCCTTTCTCTCCACCTCTCTTCTGTCTCTTCTCTTTTTCCTTCCTATTTTCCTCCCTTTTCCCCAGCTTTCCTCCCCATTCTCATGCTCAAAAGCCTATTTTTCTCTCTCCTCCTTTACTCTCCTCTCTATTCCACTCCAACATGGCAGCTTCCCTTCTCACTCTCCCCCTGGTTTTCTTCTTTCTCCATTTCAGTTAATGTCCTCTCTCTCTGGTCCCACTGTTCTTTCCTCCCCAGCTTTCTTCCTCTTTCCTCTCCAGTTCTCTCTCCAGAGGGGTCCTCTCTCCACCCAGTCTTTTGTCTTTCCTTTCCCACTTTCCTTCTCCCTGTCTTCATCTGATCTCCTCTTTCCATCCCAGTTCTCCTCTGTTGTTCCCTTTCTTCTACCCTCTCTCTTTATCCTCTTATTTTTCTCCACCGGTTCTCCATGTCTTTCCTTGTACTACAGTTCTTCTCTCTTTCCACCTAAGTTTTTCTAGTCTTCCCTCTTCTACTTTCCTTCCCTTTTGTCCTTTCCCTTTTTTTCCTTCTCCTATCTTTCTTTCTTCCCTAGCCATCCCTCCTCTCTCCTCTCGGGCTCTCCTGTCTTTACTGCACCTTTCTTCTCTCTTTTTCCCTCATCTCCTGCTTTTCTTTCTCTGCTCATCCCACATCTTTCTTTCTCCTCCCCAGGTCTTCTCTCTTTCCTTTTGGCTCTCCTCTCCATCCAGCTCTCTCTTTCTCTCTTGCCTACAGGCTTTTCCCCTTCCTCTCCTTGTCCTCTCTCATTCTCTTTTCCTGCCCTTCTCACTCTGGCTCTTTTTAATATTTCTCCCCAGCCCCCTTCCCATTTCTCCTTTTCTCAGCTTAGCTCGTCTCTCTCAAATTCTTCTCTCCACCCCAATTGTGCTCGACTCTCTCCATCTAACACTGGCTCTCCTGCTCTCTCTATATTTCACTTCTCCTTTTTCTTTTTTTATTTTAATTAAATTTTTTTTCACTTCCCCTTTTTCTCTTCTGTCCTCTTCCTTTCCTTTCTACCTAAGCTCTCCTCCTTTCTTTCTTCCCTGTCTCCTTGCCAGTTAGGTGGCATAGCGACCTGGAGTTAGGAGGACCCAAGTTCAAATCTGGCCTCATACACCTACTTGATCTGTGTCCCTGGGCAAGTCACGCAACCTCTGTCTACTTCAATTTCTTCAGCAGTAAAATAGGGGTAATAAGAGCACCTACTTCCCAGGGTTGTTGTGAGGATCAAGGGAGCTAATGTTTATGAAGCACTTAGCACAGTGCCTGGCACTTAGTAGGTGCTATATAAATGTGTATTCCCTTCCTTTTCCTAGCCAGCTTGCCCTCTCCCCTGATGCAGCTACTCCTTTTCTCTCCTATCCACTTCTTTCCATTTCAGTCCTCATTCTCATTCCCCAGCTCTCTTCTCTCTCCTCATTTGTTCTCCTAGCTCTTCAGCTCACCTCTGCTCCTCTTTCCTTGCTCACTTCATCTCTAACACCTCCTGCTTTTTATCTTCTCCTAAAAGTTTCTCTTCTCCCTCCACTGACTTTCTTCCTCCCTCGGTCCCATCTCACCTTTTCCCTCTCTACTCTCATTCTTTTTTTGGGGGGGGGAGGGGAAGGTGAAGGGGTTTTCTTTGTATCTCCAGCACTTGGCACAGTGCCTGGCACAGTAGGCTCTTGACTTGACTTTTTGCTACTTTCCAGGTCTCTTCCTCTTTCTGAAGCCAGGTGTTCCCCCTCACCCTTTTGGCTCTTTTTTTCTGTTCACTTGGTCTCACTTTGCCCTGTGCAATCTCCCAACACTCTCTCTGTCCCAACTTTCTTCTCTTCCCTCCCCAGTTCTTCTCTCTCTCCTTCTGTCCTTTCTCCTCACATCCTCTCTGCTCTTTTCTTCCCAGCTCATACTTCCCCAGAGATCTTTCTCTCCCTCAACCAGAAATCTCCTCTTTTCCTCTCCTACCTCCTCTCCTCTCTGCCCTTGCTATTCTCTTCTTTCTCCTCCCAAACTGTTCACTTCCTTCCCCTAACTCTTCTCTTTCTCTCTCTTTGGCTCCACTCATCTCTTCTCAGGTGAACCAGGCAGCTTCTGCTTGACCAAACTCAGAACACACTCTGGATGACAAGGTCACCTCTAACCCAATGCACACCACAGTAGTCATATGAAGCCACTCTAGAATAAGCCATCTATCTATATGTGTCCTCCTCCCCTCAGGAGAGTTCACGAATGGAACATGAAGATCATGGGATCTTCAAGGGATAAAATAGGTGTGTGCATGGAGGAGGGAGGTAAAGTGAGAGGTCAAAAGATGCTGAGACATTTGGATATAAATACTGCTGTTATTAGCCTGGGGGTAATTCGATGCAGGATGGAGAGAGAAGGAAACTTGCTCTTTAGCATGAAGTGACCCTCTTGCAGCCCCTTCCAATCTTATTCTCCCATCTCTGCCCTTTATAATAGAGATAGTGACTGGATCTCTGATTTCATTTGGATAAGGAACTCCTGGGTGGGGTAACTCCTTCTACCACAGCAAGTAGGTACCTGCTCTAAAATTTATAGTCTGAGAGAGTTGCCTAGAGAGAATCGGGAAGTAAAGGGACTGGCTCTAAGTCACGCAGCCAGTAAGTGTTTCAAATCTTCCAGGCTCTAAGAGCAGCCCTCCTTACCCACTGGACCTGGGTAGTCACTCTTGTGCCTCCCTATTCTCCTTGCTGAAGAGCTTGGCATTTCCTAATGATTATTTCCCCAATGTCACTTTTGTTTTTACCCCAGCTGAGATGGAAGAGATTACTTCTTTTAACCTTGGCAGGACTATTTCCCTCCCACTCCTCTGTCTTCTGCCTAAAGCTTACTATATTAGAATACTGTGGGAGACAGCTCTGGGAACAGTTATGAAGGGGAGCCCATAAGATGTTTTTGTAAGTTTCATGTCAGAGACTGTCAAGTGGGAAGAGTACTAGGACACTTTTTGGGGGGATTTCCTCACTCTCTTGATTCAGTCCTAACCCAGGAAACCTATGGAAGTTTACACCTGGCATCAAGACCGACTATATCACTCACTTGTAAAGCATTCATAATAGTACAGAGGAAAGTTTAACGAGAAGGAATCTGAACATTAGTAAGTTATTGGATAGATTTTAAGAATCTAAGCAGTGACTAGATTTTAGGAATCTGAGCCTGAGAAACCATTTCTGTAGCTCAGCCTCACACCATACAGCACAGCAGTGTCATTAGTACCCTAATGGAAGCCTACAACTTGGAGCCTACAGCTTCCATTAGTTCCATTCAACAAATACCTACCAAACACCTGCTGGTCACTGCCCCAAGCAAAGCAGTCCTTACCTTCAAGGAACTTATGCTGTTCTTGAGTCTACCCAGGCAGGCTTAGCTACTAAACCTAAAGTTGTCCCCAAAGTATATACCAATATTCAGAAATTCAGGACCTGAAGAGCCCAAGAACAGTTTAGAGGGTATTTGCATCTCTCTTGGCCTATAGTTCTCTTGCCTGGGAACTCTAGGAAAAAGTTATATGTATTCCAACAACCTGGAAATGATTCCCTACTTGGGAGCACATCATTCACACATTTCAATCAATAAACATTTATAATACTGAATAATACAATAATAAATGTTTGTTGACTGATTTCAGAGGAAAGATGTATGGAAAGGAGGAAGAAGTCAAGGTCTTTCATAGAGCACTCATTAATCCCCATGGAATCTTTATCTCTGTCTCTCTGTCTCTCTGGATGTAAATCTCCAGAGACATTTGCAGTCCCATATATGAGGATTCCTTAGGTGGCCATTCCCAACAGTTCCTGTTTTCACCTTCTAATTCTTGAAGGAGTAGTAAAGGGAATTCCCCCTTTTTCACCAGCTTTCTGCCATTCACAATGACTTTCTCAGGCATGATGATTTACACAGTTTCTCAGACAAGGACAAGTTTCTTTGATTCTTCAATTTTTCCTCTTTCAAATGTACATTTTTTTAAGGGCAGGAATTACTGTCAATTTTGTCTTTGTATCCCCAGTGCTTGGTACAGTGTCTGGCACATAGTAGGGACTTAATGTTCTTCGGTTGTTTGGTTTCAGAGATTTATCTTCCATGAAAGAAAAGGACAGAACCGCAGAACGTAGCCCTCTCTCAGTGCTACTAGCCCTCCCCTCTCCTTCTATTCTCTCTTCTCCTGCCCTTCCCTCCCCTCCTGTTCTCTCCTCTATCTTTTTTGCTCTCTTCTAGTCTCTACCAGTTACTAGTTTTACTATCACCATCTACTATCACCATATCAGGTGAGATCACCATTTGTTCTCTACATTTTTATACCCTGCCTTTTTTTTTTATAAAGCTTAAAACTCTTACTCATAGTGGTATATGCAAGAATATTTGCTTTATTTCTGGAGGCAAAATATATACATATACACATTAGGTCTTTTAAAGGACATGATAATTTAAAAGACTTCCTAAAGGTCTTCCCAGTTTCCTTTGAAATTGTCCATTTCATCATTTCCCATGGTATAATCCTATGTTATTACACAGATACACCATGATCTGTTTAGCTTTTCCCCCACTATGAAGACAACCCTTTTAGTTTCCAATTTTGACCACCACAAAAAGAGCTGCTATAAATATTTCTTTATGCATAGACCCTATTCCTCTTGCTTTCATCTTGGGGCATAGGCCTAGGGGTAGTTTGTTCAGTTGTTTTCTGGTTATGTCTGACTCTTCATGACTCCATTTGGAGTTTTCTTGGCAAAGACACTGGAGTAGTTTGCCATTTCCTTCTCCAGCTCATTTTACAGATGAGAGAACTGAGGCGAATAGAGTGAAGTGACTTGCCCAGGGTCACACAGCTAATAAGTGTCTGAGGCAAGATTGGAGCTCAGGAAGATGAGTCTTCCTGACTCAAGTCCTAGTTGCCCCTGTTGAAATGTTTGGGACTCTATTTTAAACTTTGCTCTTGCTTCTTTGTAAGCCTCTTACATGTACTTCTCACCAGAGTAAGTTGGATTTCAAATCCAATGCCTACTCTCAAAAGCAGAAGTAATGCCTCAAAATGAGCAAGGGCTATATAACTCTTCTCTAGGCTTGATATTAGTCATGGTAAATGGACCAAATGGTCAAGCATCTCCACTATCTAATAGTTCTGTTATGCCAGAATAGAGGAACCAGAAGAATCCCGTGATTCAGTCACCACTGGGCTAGGCCTAGAAGACAGCCAAGAAGTCCAAGTTCTGAACTTTCTAGATAGTCATTTGGGAGCCTGTGGATATTAGGAATCAGAAATGACCTCAGATCCTTGTATGAGGATTTTCTGTCAAAGCAGAGATTGGGGAGTCCATGGCAGATTTGGAAACTTTGGTAGGCAATTAGATACAACAGTCAAGGGAGACAATGAGGAATATGTCTTAACATGATATTACCTTCTTAGGTGGTGAGCCTTACTTGGAACACAGAAGACATTTAGCTGTGGAAGAAATACAGCAGTATACTCAGTGCTGGTCACTGAACAATTATTTTCTCTACACTGATCGAGATCTTCCTCTTTGTCTTTCATATTGGGGTTTTTTTTATTGTTTGTGGATGAATGTTTGCGTTTCACCCTTTCGTGTACTTTTAATGCTAAAAATGTTAATGACTATGAAATTAGGCCCACATCATTCTTCAGGAGCAATGTGGACTTGGAAGCATTGAGCCTAAGAGAAAGGACAACTGTACCATATGTGAATGAGCCCTAAGTCTTTTGGTAAGTCCTGGTTTCCCACCCTCTTCAACCAATCAATCAAGAAGCATTTATTAGAAGCTTCCTATCTGCCAATGCTAAGTGCTGGGAGTGCAAGGAAAAAGCAAGATAGTCTTACCCTCAAAAAAGTTTCATTCTAATGTGGAAGACAGTGTGTACACATATAGTTGTACACATATGCATACATGGGATACAAGGTAGCCCTAGAGGGGAAGATATTAGTGGGCTAGGATAGGGGATTTGACTGGAAAAGCCTCTTGCAGGAAGTGGCATCTTGAAGAAAGATAGGTGGAGGTGAGGAGGGTGAGTGTTCTAGGCATAAGGGATAACCAGAGCAAAGGAACAGAGATGGGATGTGGAACATTGTGTGTGAGGGATAAAAAGTAGGCCAATATGGCTAGAATTGGAGAATAAAGGGAGGGAATAACATACAGGAAGACTGGAAATATTGAGACCAGAGGTCCTAGGTAGAAGACCAGATCTTGGGTAACCACTGTAGGGGTTTCTTTAGCCCTCTGTGAGGTCTATTCACTCAATAAGACATCAGGGGAAAAGTATTTCGGTTACCCTTTGTAATGTGGCATCCTCTGTTCAGAGCTATGCCAATTGGCAGAGTTGAGACCTGGGGCAATGATACCTCCAGATAAATAAAAAGTGATGAGAAGACTTGACCACATACTTAGCTGCTCAAACTTTTTTGATGGATTCTTTTATGAAGGCAAACTAGGCCATCTTTTGCCTCAATTTTTACCAGCCTTTAATCACGGAATGGGCTTTGCCTCAGACAAAATGAGATCTCGGAAAGACCTTACTTAAAAAAACCAAAGTCCTCTATTGCATCTGAGGTCATCGCCAGTCATCTGACCTAAGTTTTGCAACTGGACTCTGATGACTCTGGAGGACAAAGTGAGGTTGATGACTTTACTAGCCTGCCTCACTTAAATTAATACACTTGCAAGTCAAGACATCACCCTCCTGATGTCATTGGACTTCTTTAAATCTTAAGCCTTTATAATTAATTCTTAAGATATGAGACAAATACGTATGTTCCTTTTAAAATTTTTTAATTAAAAAAATATATTTCCTCCTCCCATTGCCCTCCCACAGAGGGGAAAAAACAACTTTGCAACAAATGTGCATAGTCAAGCAAAATAAATCCCCATATTGGGTATATTAAATATATATGTATATACATAAGCTTATATATATATATATATATATATATATATATATATATATATATATATATATATATCAGTATATGTCTTCTGTATCACTATGTTAATCTTATATATCAACATCTGTGTGTATATTAGACATATGGGTATCTGTACCCTGCATCCATCATCTCTCTTTTAGAACGGAGATAGCACGTTTCCTCATAAGTCTTCTTTAAACATGATTTGCCACTGCATTGATCAGAGTTCTTAAGTCTTTCACTGTTGTCTTTACAGTCTTGTTGTATAAACTGTCATCCTGGTTCTGCTCACTTCACTCTGCATCAGTTCAAATTAAATACATTCCTCCCAGTGTTTTGTTGTGCGTTCTCTCACTCTGGCCAGGAGAGTCTGCCATTCCTATAGTTTAAGCTGTGGTCCAGGAATCCGAATCTAGTTTTGGATACCATCTTCTCAGCCTTCTGTTCATTTCAAAAACAGCTTTTCTCTTGTTCATTCCTTACCTTCAGTGGGGTATACAGGTGATGAAAATACCACCTGTGCCGCTTCTGGTCTTTGGTTTTTTGCCAAAGACTTTGTAATCCTTGGCAGTGCTTTCTAGGTTTCTTCTGACAGTATCCCTGGGGTCCATGTGACTTACCAGAAGTGGGTAGTAGTTATTCATTTTGAAAAGTCTTAGATTTTTGTTATGTCTTAGACACATGCCCCAGGAAGACCATAGACATCTTTATTGTTAATATCAGTTTGACAGTTCTACAGTGCCTCTGAGGAAGGAGTCAGCAACTACCATTCTTCTCTTCTCCCTCTGATCCTTAGTGACTGATCTCTCCCCTGACAGTACCTGTATCTGCTTTATCATTGCTTGGAGGACAAGCAGCTGCTTTACCATAGAATATCCAACCTCCTCCTCTTCAAGATGACCCTCTGTTTTCTAGATCTAAAAGAAGAATAGCCCTTCTTCCTTTTATCCTTGGGTGGCATTCTTCCATTTTCCAACCTACTTTTTACTTTGCTTCTTCAGGTCCTTTCTCTCCTTTTTAATTTATTTTTATTTTTGTGCTGTGGCTTGTCTTGCAACTGTTAAAGGAAAATTTAATTGTCCCTGATAACTTGGGTGTGGAGAGATGTTCTGTGAGCCCTTCACCTTCTTTTTTTAGCAAGTGATGAACGTCACTTGGAACATAGATGTCATTTAGCTGTGGAAGAAATACAACAGTATACTTGGTGCTGGTCACTGAAACATTCTTTTCTCCATACTGATTGAGATCTTCCTCCATGTCTTTCATATTGTTTATGGATGGGTAAAGTTTTCATTTCACTTTTTCAGTTGCTGGATTAATACCTTCATACCCTTACAATCTTTGTCACTTCTTAATTGGAGAGCCATATCTGAGAGGACAGCATGGCATAGTGGATAAGTCACTGGACAATCAGTAAGACTTGGGTTTAAATTTTGCTTCAGACATTCACTAGATGAGTGAGTTTGGGTAAATAATTTAAACTTTTTGTGCCTCAGTTTACTCATCTGTTAAATGAGGGGATTAGACTAGATGGATTTGGAAGTCCCTTCCAGCTCTAAATCTCTGTCTTTTTCCTCCAGCACTTATTACAAAGAAAATAACTATATGTATGTATGTGTATGTGTGTGTGTGTGTATATATATATATATGTACATATGTATATATATACACACATATGTAACATATGCATATTATACTATCTGTGTATATTTGGGGAGGGAGAGAGAGAAGAAGAAGAAGAACACACTAGGCTAAAGTAATTAGATATCCACGGTTGTCCATTCTGAATCTTTCCAGACCAGGCATAGTCATCTACCTAATAGTTAATAGTTTGAAATTCTTCTCTTGACAACTGTTTGTTAGCCTTTGATCACTAGACTATTGGGAAATGGCTCTTGATATAATATTTTGTGCTAATTTTAGGTAACTGTCTTAGATTCTAAGGTATGGATGGGTTATGATCACCAAAAATTTCCACACCTAACAAAATCAAAGGTCCATGATCACTGACAATAGAAGCGTTCTGGATGGGATGGTAATTTGTGGTTCTAGGCTTCTTAATTTCCTTCCATATCAAATACTTCTCCCAGTAACTTGCTCACAAACTCTTGACTCTGGTCAGAGTGGATTTTGAAATGAAGACATATTTGACACTTTGATCTGACAGGAAGAAATCTTTCCCATAACAGTCCCTGCTCTCTTTGGACATTGTAAATATCCTCTTATTCCAGGTTGGGTTCTGGCAGCTAAGTGGTACAGTGGATAGAGTACTGGACTTCAATGAAGGGAGACCTGAATTGAACTCCCACTTCAAATCCTTATTAGCTATGCTACCCTGGCAAGTCACTTCACCTGCCTCAGTTTCCTCATCTCTTAAATGGGCATAATGACAGCATCTACCTCCCAGGGTTATTAGGAGGATAAAATGAGGTTCTATGTAAGACACTTTGCAAATCATAAAGTGCTATGTAAATGCTAGTTGTTGTTGTTGTTATCATTTCAGGTAAAGTGGTCATTAACTATCAGGATGTTGTTCACGTTTTTCTGAAAGCACAAAGTCTATTCTTGCCATCTCCAAGGATTTTCTGCTGCTTTTGCCTTCAGGGTAAGCAGCTCAAGTTATCATGACCCTCCTGTGAACACGTTTAATGCAAGTTTACACTCTGTGTGTGTGTGTGTGAGAGAGAGAGACATAGAGACAGAGAGGCAGAGACAGAGAGAGAGGGAGGGAGAGAGAGATTATCAGCCGTCTTTCAGAGCTACTAAGCTGTTGTTGACCAGGCATAGAGTTTTCTCTTGTAAATTTTTGGTGAGGCAATCAGGGTTAAGTGACTTGCCCAGGGTCACACAGCTATTAAGTGTCAAGTGTCTGAGGTTGGATTTCAACTCAGACTCCAAGGCCAGAGCTCTACCCACTGCACCACCTAGCTGCCTCATTTATGTGGCTTTGTTAAGATGTGCTTTTTGTATGTAGTAAATTATTGTTTTTCTTATTTTGCCATTTTCTTCTGTTTTATTAGACTGCTTAATTCATTCACATTTAAAGTTATGATTGCCAGGTTTGTGTTTTCTTTCTTTTTTTTTTTTTGTTTAATTTTCATCCCTTTCCTCTTTTAAGTCAGTGCTTTAACCTTAGGGTTTTTTTTTTTACATTAATTTAATGCCAGTCTGTTTCCACAGATTCTCCTCACGTTCTCATTTCCTGGGTTCCCTCTCATTCTTTGCATTTTAATAAGTTAATTTTTCTTTCTATTCATTAATTTATTCATTTGTTCCTTTATCTATTTCCCACTCTTCCTTAGCCGTTCTTTCTTGTGCAGATTGTGTGGTTCAAAATCTGCCTCATCCATCCCCCAACATCCTAGCTTAATATTCTTTTGTGTTTCCCCTTTCTAAAAGATTTCTTTTGCTCCTTCCTCTTCCTTATTTCTACCCCTTGCTGGTTGTTTTTTTCCCTGAACTCTATTCTCTAATTCATGGGCTATACTCTGATATATTCCTTTGTTTTGGGGTTCCATTTATTTTCATGAGAGGTAGAGCTTCTGAAGTACCACATTTGAATTATCTCTTCTACCTTATCTATTTATAGATTTTAGCATTTAATATACATTATAGCATTTATAGATCTGACACCATCCATCCTCCTCCCTTCTTCTGTACTTCATTCCCAGAGGTAAATTCATAAAGTAACAGTAGGTGAGCTGGTAATCACCCTCTAACCTGAGCCCTTAGCTATGGTCTTACCTCCAGTCCTTATCCTCATTTAACTCTCCTAAGGTCAATATAATCCTCTTTCTGCTGGCTA